GATGGGTAGAGGATAGCATGCCTTCGTGTCTAAAACGAAACGTACGATCCTTCAGATAGGAGGCTACAAGGCGAACGAGACGGTCTGGGAGGCCTAAGTCGTACAGTTTGTAGATAAGGCCCTCGTGCCAGACTCTGTCGAATGCCTTGGCAATGTCAAAGAAGACCGCGATGGTTTTTTGACGGCGAGGGTAAAAACCGCTGAGGATGTATTCCACTATGTGGTGAACTTGTTGGGGGCACGAGTGTTTGGCTCGAAACCCGAATTGTTGTGGCATGACAAGAGGGTCGCCGTTTGTGGGAAACAAATGGCGCCTCAAGCGCACGAGAATGACTCGTTCGAAAAGTTTGCCCATGGCCTTGACGAGGCTGATGGGACGGTGATTGGAGGGGAGGTGGAGAGGTTTGCCTGGCTTGGGAATGCCAATGACAGTTGCCTCTTTCCAAGAGGTGGGAAAGTAACTGAATTCGAAGCAGGCGTTAAAGATAATGGCCAGTAAGGCGATTACCTGCTCCGGGAAGTGTTTGAGGGCTTGGTTGGAGATACCATCCGCACCCAGTGCTTTTTTGGGCTTAATTCCTTTGATGATGGATGAAATCTCATCTTTGGACACAGTGATAGGGTCAGAGGCGGTAGGGGGCGAGTTCCTGCGTCGGACCTCGTCCTCCACTAGTTGGATGTGTAAGGGGTCAGTGGGTTGTGAGCTAGGAGAGCATTGAGCGGCGACGCTGTCCGCGAAGCACTCAGCCTTTTCTTCGTCTTCGAAGGCAATGGAGCCGTCGGGAAGAGACAGAGGGGGGAGTATGGGTTATAGCGTCTATCCGGAGGGCTCTCGCCATCCGGTAGTATGCTGTGTGAGAGGGAGAGATTTTCTCCATGAGATTGCCCTTTTCGTGGTCTCTGTAGTCTTGGAGGCGGTAACGCAGTTTGCGTTGAAGGTGGTGGGCCGCGAGTCTATATTCGGGAGTGGGATAGCGTGCAGCTCTACGGAGGGCAGCTTTTTTTGGCTTTTAACAGGTTGCTAATATCTAGGGGAAGACTAGTTTTAGCAACCGGGACAACTTTTTCATTCTCTTTAAGAGTGGATATTATAAGTGAGGTGAGATTTTCGACCGCGGTGTCTATTTTTCCCGCACTGTCGAGGGCGTCGGAAGAAAGGGTTATGGGAGGGTCTGGAGAGTCTATAGCCGAGGCTAGAGACTTCTTGAAGCCCTTCCAGTTGGTGTAGGTTTTGGAAGTGGGAGTTGCAGATGGCTGATGGCCAAGAAGGAGGGATACAGGACGGTGGTCGGATCCTAGATCGTCGAGAGGCTCGATTGCTCTAAGGTTAAGGGAAACTCCTTTAACTAGAGCAAAATCTAGCACATCAGGAGCGTAGGTAACAATGTCGGGATAGTGGGTGGCAGTGAGGGGGGCTGTAGACAGTCAGGTCGAGAGACTGAGTGATATTGAGCAGCACCCTGCCACTACTGGTAGTAGTGCGACAGGTCCATTCAGTATGCTTGGAGAACTCTACCAAACATAATGACTGAGTCGCCTAATGCAAGGATGGCTTCGAAATCACTCTTGACGGGGAGGGTTCTGCTAGGGATATAGCAAGAGGCTATAATGATTGACTGGTGTCCAGTCATAGCTAGTCTAGTGATAGTGGCTTCCATACTGGTAAGCGACGGAGTAGATATGTGGGAGCAATGAACGGACTTTATGTGATAGATAGCAGTACCGCCGCCTTTGCGGTCGGGTCTATCGTTACGTAGAAGTGCATAATTTTTAATAGAAAGGCCTTTAGAGACCTTGGGGCTGAGATGGGTCTCCTGAAGGAGGAGGAGATCGGCTTCGCGATCTCGAAGAAATAGCCTAAGCTCTGGGAGGTTATTTCGCAGACCGCGGATATTGAATGAAACAAGCGACAAACCCTTTGGTTTGATACGACCGTGAGATATTGCGGGAGCAGAGGGCTCCGGCATAGTTTAATTACAAAGACCTTAGAAGGTTGATGTGCTCAGTAAGAGCAAGGAGACGGTCCTGAGGGGACTGAGCTGTGCGCAGTTTACCTGCAAGGATAAGGATTTCATCTAAATTGATCCTATTGAGAGTGTTATACACTAGGTTTAGAGATTCTACTACAGAGTCTGTCTGTTTTTTTGGGTCGGCGGAGGGCCGCGGGATATTTGATTCCTTTTGGAACCAGGGGTTTATTGGAAGCGGCGCTGGCTGAGAGAGCGGAAGGCTCATAAGGGGCCGAGGAGGGCCCTGAGGTGGCCGATAGGGGCCCTGTGGGGGCCGGTAGATGCCCTGTGTGGGCTGAGATGAGCCCTGAGGGGGCTGAGGTAGGGGCTGGCCCAGGCTGGGCTTGCGGCTTACAAGAGCCGGGAAGGTTCGGTCATTGACCTGTGGTGGAGCTTTGCGGCTCGGAGGTGGGCGAGGGGCGCGAGGGCAACCTTTAAAATTGGCCGGATGGCCTGTTTGTCCGCAGAGGACACATGAGGGTGGGGATTCGGCGTTTTTGGGCCGTGGGCACTCTTTCGAGTGATGGGGTTCTAGGCACTTAATGCACCTGGGTGGAGCTGAGCAGTTGGCCGCCGCGTGTCCATAGAGTTGGCAGCGGTGGCACTGCGCTGGGTAACCGCGCCGGTGAGGGGCTTCGACCTTAACACGCGACAGGCCGCACACAGTGCGTACCTCGCGGAAAATGGCCTTCGCCTCCGGCACATTGGTGAGAACGAGGAGGGCGAGGTTAAACCTTTCGCCCCTGCTGCTGTGCATTTTATGCACACCTTCAATGGGGAAGCCTTGGGATTTAAGGTCTTCCAGAATGTCCTCGTTTGCGAGTTCATAGGGAACTCCGCGGAGGACTGCCTTGACTTTCCTTTCTTCGGCGAGGGCGTATGTGTGGTAGGACACACGCTCGGCCGTGAATAGGCGGGTTATGTTACGGAAGTCTTCTATAGACGCCGGCATAATTTTGATGGCCTCGCCGACATTAGTGGCTTGGTCATATTTGAAACCCTTATCGTAGAGGGTTTTGGACAACTGAGTGAATTGCGCCTTGTCTCTGAGAAAGACAGGGGGCGGGACTTGGTTTTTAGCCTTGACTTGGTTTTTCGGGAGCGCAGCGGGTTGCTAGCTTGGCGGTATTGTCTTTCGATTGTGAGGCGGCAGCGTTTGGGGCTGCGGAAGTAGGGGCAACGATGGGAGCTGCGGAGGTAGAGGCAGCGGCGGAGGGTGTGCGGGCGGCGGCGGCGGCGGCCGCTGCGGCGGGGGGAGTGCGAGAAGTGGCAGCGCGTTTCGGGCCGCGCTTTGATTTCACTAACGTGAATTGGGCTTGGGAGTCGGTTATGGTTCCTTCGGAGTCGGAAGAATCCGAGGAGCCGGTGGAGCTGAGGGCGGTCCTCTTCCGGGAGGATGAGGTAACGGACGTGGTGTCCGAGTGCTCCATATCGGAGTCGGGGGGCGCGGGCAAGTCGGACTGCGGGGCAGCCGCTGGCGGGGAGTAGTTAGAGAGGCGGGGGGGTACACATGCCTTAGGGGCAGCGGGGGGGAAAATGGCTTTGGCGAGAAGGGTCTCGTCAATTTGGGCGGTTGTGGGTATTCCTGCAGCTTGGATCATTTGTACGATCGTGGCCGCAACCTGGCTCATGAGTGAACTTATGTCTATGGAAGACATGTTGATCTGGAGGGGGGGGGGGGGGGGATGACGTTTTATTCTATGAAAATTAAAAATAAAACAAAACAAGTGAAGCGCGCTCAAGCCTCCCCGCCGGAGCAAGGGGGCAAGAACGATGCGAAAAACAAAGTGACTCACCAACGGCGTCTGCTCGGTCGGTGTTAGCCGGGGAGAGCGGGGCGCGCGGGCAAGCGGTTGCGCTACCGAAGGGTCGGAGGCGCGAAAGAACTGTATGCACGACCACTCGGGGGCAGCGCGCAAAGGGAACTGTTGTGGGATTTTTTTTTTTGCGCCCGAAGCAATTAAAGGGCTACCCTATACGTAGGGAGGCGGAAAATGCATTACGCATACCACGATAGCCGGTCTATCGTGGTTATGAGGGGCTCACTGTCCTACCGGGGACCCTAAGTGATACCCTCTAAAAACCGCCTTTGGGGACAGGCAGCCGGCTGATCAAGCTGTATTGTGCCTTATCATGAGCGACCCTCTTTTGGGAAAAAAGGGCGCAGGCGGCTAAGTGCCGCTGAGGGAGTGCCTACGAAGGCAAATTAATGTTAGTTATTACAATAATTTAATTTAATTAGAGTTGGCCTGAGCCGCCAGGAGACAGTTCAGGTCGTTTGACAGTTTATTAGGCGGGTCCGAGAGAGAGTTTCTCGGCCTGCGGACACGATAGCGAGAGGGGGGTGGGGCTGCATAAGAAGCTGCCTCATGAATTAAATGGTTTGGGTGCGACTCTGAGGCTTTGAAGAAGTTCTCAGAGAGTTTTTTAAAAAATTGTTGAATTGTTGGGAGCTCTAAGTCCCGATGAAGGTCGGCATTACGGACGTACCAAGGTGCGTTGCAGATCGACGACAGAAGAGGTTCTGAACTATTTGGAGTTCATTTAAAATTTTAGGGTTTGCGTGGGCAAAGACGGGGTCCGCGTAGGATTGTTGTGGGATCGAAGGACTTGGGTTATATAGTGTAGGATCGTGGGAAGCTAGGAGGTAGAGGTAAAGATAAGGGAATAACATTATGCTTGTTTGTGTTTATCGTTAACTTATTCTAAGATACAATTAAGAATGGTAAACTTTGGAACAGTAAACATTAGTATTTAAATATTACAATCTAATTAGTTTGGTTTCTAGGTAAACAATGTAATTTAGTTTTAAAGTAAATAAGTAATATATGAATAACAATATAGGAGTATAGAGGACTTATAATATAAAGTAAATAGTATATAACACAATAATAGAACCTATAACATAACACTTCATAAAATGTTGTTTCTCACTGAGTAATAATTTCTTAGTTTAATGTACGCATTTCTCAGCGCCGCACATCTCTCAGCATGATTGGAGTTATTATTGTCGCCGTAACACTTACAGCCGTTGTAGTGCACTTTTACAAAAAAGCTTTTAAGAGACCCCACAACTTTCCTCCTGGTGAGAATCTTTGCACGCTTCTTTTGTATTTACCTTATTGTATTAATCATTTATTTTGAAAATTATATATTTCTATCAAACTCTTCTCAACGAAGACAATTAAAATAATTGTTGCGATTAAAAATAATCAGTGTTATAGTGCCAGTTTCATAACTTAAGAGTCTGTTGTGTTTGCTATTTTTATACTTTAATTTGTAAAGGAAGTGTCTGTTATACAACAACATATTTTATAAACTCGTTTTTATTCGTGACTTCGACATGTAGAATTTGAACAAAAGGAAACCGTACTTCAATTATAAAAAGAACTGAAATTTGAAGATCTATTAATTTCACGTAAAAAAGGTCTTATTACCTTAATTTATCTACATTTTGTTTTGTTGTCAAATGGTGTTGAAATAAAAAAAATATTATCGATTTTCCATCAAAAATATAAAACACAGAAGATAAATAAAGACCTACATGTAAATAAGATTTAGAAAATTTTGTTTATAATTAAGTATACATATTGCTTTTTATTTAATGAACTGGGAAACGTTCCACCTCATTACAACAATTGTCAAACAAATTGTGATTTTTGTCAATTATTTCTGGAACGTCGTATAGGTAGATACCTCTAATACAAGTGCCGCCCTAATACCAGCCTTTTTGATTTTTTACTTCAAAACTAAGGTCTAGTGGTCTTAACTACAAATATTGTCAAAAAAAATTCTTCGTAATTAGAGGAAAGTATTGTTCAAACATTACCACACAGTTAGAAACTTAAACGCTCATTTTCCAAATTTTTTATCAAGCAAGAAAAATCGATGTAAAACATTTTTTTATCCCAATTTGCTTTAATTAATTGTGTAGTATTAAAAAAATCGCAGCGATTTTTTTTGCTTACGAAAAAGAATAGGATATTTTTGAGATAAAAAAATTTTTGATGGTCAATATTCAATAGAATCTACAAATTAGAGTTCCCATATCTCAGAGTTTTCGTCTAAACATGCATCGGGAGAACGATTATTATTAAATAAATAAATAAAATAAGTTATCTAAAATTTGCCTCGAGCTTATTGCAGTAGAGAAAACGATCTATTTTCAACGAGGACACATTGTAATTTAAAGAATTTATTTAATTTTACTTGCTAATCCGAAATTTATTTCCGCTGAACCGTAGGTCCGCCGTGTCTTCCATTATATGGCGCATATTGGATAATACTGGCGAAATCGTACAACAACCTAGCAGCTGCTTGCATCAAGCTTTCAAAAGAATACAAATCAAATATTCTGGGACTGTTCTTGGGATCGCTTCCTGCAGTCATTGTAAACGATTCCAAACTAATTAAAGAAGTTCTCAATTGCGAGGAGTTCGATGGGCGTATGGATGTCATTATTGGCCGATTGCGGTCATACTGGAAGAAACTTGGTAAATCTTGTCCTCAGATTATAAAACAAAAGGAACATGTAACATGGCGTATAACTCAAGTGCGATCAATAACCAAATTCTATTCAAAAAACCGACCAAGAGCGTGTTGGGCCACGCTCAGTGTAGAGTTCCGTAGTTTCCCGTCCGTCACAATAAGTGTTCCCACTTATGAGTTTAAAGGTGGGTATCCATTATGTTCGCGCTCCAGCAGCGCTCCGCGCTCCTGCAACTGCTCCCGGTAGTGGGTACTGTTATTTCCATCCAAGTTCAAAATGATTTTCCTAGAAAGTCCTTATAAAGTTCTACTTTTCAGATTTTTTTCATATTTTCTAAACTTATGGTTCAAAAGTTAGAGGGGGGACACATTGTTTTTTACTGTTGAAGCGATTATTTCCGAAATTATTGAAATTATCAAAAAATGGTTTTAGTAAACCCCTATTCATTTTTAAATACCTTTCTAACAATATATCACACGTTAGGGTTGAAATTAAAAAAAAATCACTTCCCACTTTACATATTTTATTTTACCACTTTGTCGGCGTGATTGATACACATATTGGTACCAAATTTCAGCTTTCTAGTGCTAACGGTCACAGAGATTAAGCGAGGACGGACGGACAGACGGACAGACAGACATGGCGAAACTATAAGGGTTCCTAGTTGACTACGGAACCCTAAAAAGTACAACAAACTCATGATACAAGTTTGCACTTTAAATTAAATTATTTAACAAACATGGCAATAAAAAGAAAAATAATATTTTGGTTATTTTACGGCCTGAAATATATACTCGTTTGCAAAAAGAAAAGGGCGGTTTTACCTGCCTGAAAAGAATATAACACGAAAAAGGTTTCAATCATTTGAACATATTACTTGCCGGTTTTAAAAGTGTCGTGGTGTTTAAAAAAGTACGTTGTAAATTCAAATTTTTGCCTGAAACTGGTTTAAAAAATAACAACTTTATACTACATTTTGTGGCGCGAACTACCGAAAGTTAATATCGACTCTATAAAACTTATAAGGTAATTTTTTATTAAATTACCTCATTTCCTCACATTTTAAAATATTATTATAGCTGTTTAGCGGTCTAGAAAATGGTAGATAAAGTGATAAGAGCCAGGAAACTTACTGCGCTGCTTGAGAAGTTCCATCAAGAGAAGGCCTGGTTCTGGAAGAATACCATGTGCCGAACTACAGGATAATCGTTTTCTGGTGAGTTCAGTGTGTGAGAAATCGCAAACCTCTTATGTTTGCGAATTCTCAACTACGTGTGCGCAGACCTCAAATGAGTAAGAAATGTGCAAATTAGTCTAAGTAAGATCAGGCGAAGGCCTCTCGCTGCCAATATACGCAGGCATCGCCCAACCCGCTGCCATGAGCACCGAGTTACCAAAATTAGTTTCTCTCAAAATTGTATGTCATGGACTCAAGAAGACTGATATAAGGTATTGTTCTCGGATGAAACCAGAATATCTCTATACTGTGAAGAACGACATCGGCGAGTGCTACGAAGGCGAGAAGAATGCTTTGGAGAAACATGTTTTGAAGAAATCACATTTTTAGTGGGGGCTTGTTTATATTTTGGGCAGGAAAAATTCGTTTGAGTTAGTCTTTTTTAAAAACTAAACACTGACTGGACACTGATATATAACGGAGGTTATAATTTTTCATGCACAATTTGCATTGGACACTTTTAGTAAAAACTCAATCGACGACGCTTGCACTCACAGGTAGGGCGATGTGGAAGCGAATATGCTAGAGGTTGGAATTCTTCGTTTGGATTGACCAGCTCGAAGTTCTTACCTAAATTCCATAGAGTATGTCTGGGACATTCCGATGCGATGAGTGAGATCAGTGCAGCCGGCTCCGCAGACTGTCTGTGTAATTACAGCAGAGTGGGGACATATTACGCAAGAAACCATAAGAGATATACTGCTAGCAAACGAATGTAAGCTATGATTTCAGCAGGAGGGGTTACATTCCATACTAAACTTTTATCGGTGTTTACTTTAGTAAAGATAAAAATAAACGAAATAACGTGTTTAATTTTTACTTAGCGAGCAGATACACTACTACTAACATTATTTCTCATTAACTTAATCAAAATGTTAAACCTTCCTTGCTTAGTAATTCTTAGCTGAGTATAAGGTTAACTAAAATTATCAAACAGTCTAATAATAAAAATAAAATTGGTTGTTTGCCCATTTTTTTTTCAAAAGAGCTTACATTACAAATTTAAAGGCATTCTACACGATCGGGACTAACCGCCGACCATCGTGTCCTTGGTCGGGTCAACCGATTTTTGTATTCGTTCTACACGGTCCGGTGGTTGACTCAACTTGTCAGTTCTCTACAGCATTAAAAGCGTAAAGAATTAGCTAAATATGGCTCCTTGTTTTTCGAAAGAACAAAAGATCGGCTTGGCAATAACTTTTTTATGCTCGAGTGAAGAAGAAAAAGAACGAAAAAAAAGTGAAAGAAAAAACAGAAGATGAAACCGGGGGTTAAAGGAGGCCGGCCGACGAGAGCGCCTCAGTGCGCGCTTGGCAGTCGTCGCGGGGTATATTAACCGCGGTTGCGAGCGCATGTTACCGCACGTTGCAATGGTGCACAATTTCAAGAAATTCATTAAAAGTGTCTTGACCCATTCTTAGAAAATTTCGAAAAACTTCAGAATAATGATTCCTTAAAATATTGAGATTGTATTCAAATTAATTCGCTCTTTTAGCCACAGTTTCATCCACTTTCTTTTTTTCTTTGTATTTCTTCTTCACTCAAGCATAAAAAAGTTATTGCCAAACCGATCTTTTGTTGCTTCGAAAGACTATGAGCGATATTTAGCTAATTCCTTACGCTTTGAATGCCGTAGAGAACTGACAAGTTGAGTCAACCACCCGACCGTGTAGAACGAATACAAAAATCGCTTGACCTGACCAAGGTCACGATGGTCGGCGGTTGGTCCCGATCGTGTAGAAGGCCTATTACTGGTTTTCTAAAGCTGAGTGTGTCTAGTTATATTCGTATATTCCCATTAATAGTCTTGGTAGAATTTTATTTATCTTACTACATGCTTTATGCAACGTTTACATACTCGCCAAACACAGACGGGCAGGCAAGAGTACGACTACATAAACGCCTTTTTCGGGTGTTCTCGCTACTCGCCCGAGTATTCACCTGTTCTCCACTTGATATCGTTTTTTGGCACGAGTAAAAGGATTGCTCGTGTGTATTCATATCGTTGCTTAATAAGTATAGTCATATCGTTGCTTTGTAAGTATAAAATAAGTATTTCATCCTCATCATCAACATTGCTTCCTTCACAAGTCCACTGCTGAACAAAGGCCTCCCCCAAGGAATGCCACAAATCACGGTCCTGAGCCACCTGTATCCATCGATGTCCTGCATCACCTGGTAAGTCCTCGTTCCATCTATTGGGAGGGCGAGGGGTGGGGGGGGGCTCTACACCCCCAAATAAATATTAGCGACTCTATAAATATCAAGTAGACAAATTCGTGACAATGAGGCGTACGTCATTTAAAAGATCTACGTTGTATGAATAAAGACGAATATGTAAAAGCGTTGTACTCGTCCACGAATAACTCGGCGAGGTATTCGACTAGGTACTCAGCTAGTAGTTCGTGCCGATAATGTAAACGTGCCATTATACTTGACCTGCATATTTGTACGTAGTTTAAATGTAATGGAATTTTGTAATTCAGTTTTCATCCACTTGCTGCTGCCTGCAGAGCTCTGAATAAACTAAAATGCAGAAGACATATTAGGAACCGATGACACTGCAATAATTTGATGACAATGACCTAGTATTCCGCAAAGATCAGCCCATGATCAATGCGTCCCGCTTAAGTTTTCTTAAACTCTAACATAATTTTTCTTGTTACTTTTATTTCCTTTTCACTGTTAAAGTTTGAAATGACCGGTTGTTGTAGAGAAATAATATAGCACAAAACTAAAACAATTTCAAAACCCATGTAAAATTATGTATAGTAACTCAACGCACAAGCATTATTATAATCAACCTAACAAAGATGTACTTCATTACGATATACCTACTTTAGTACCATGTATTGGCAGGGTAAAAGAATCCATTACCGCATCATATCCCGTGGACGTCTTAAGAGGTGACTGTATCAAGTGGCAAAAATCTCTTGTGACTTTTGGATAGATAGACCACCTTTATGCAAACTCCTTTACGCCAGACGGAAATAGACCAAAGACTGGTGGCAAGAAGCAAGGTAAAGGGTTGAAAACAAATTTTTCACACAGAGCAGAAAATGCCTTAAGCCGTTCGCAAGTATTTTAAATAAATAAAATCGTTAAAGTCTACTATAGTCGTTGTATATTATTAGTAAGTTCGGCATCATTTAAAAATTAAGTCGGGAACTGACTTTATTTCCCCTAAATACCGCTCCCTAAAATCTACCATATTTACGGGGCCATAACTTTGCTATGTCACTGACTTCCAGTATGATAGGACTACGTTCAGTGGAAATGGTGAAGTATTCTTCTTCAGCAGTCTTTTACTCACTTTGAAATCTTGCAAAGAGAAATGATTATTTTTTTAATCTAAAATATGGATATTTATTCACACAATTTTTACTTGCTTAGGCATATTCTTCACTGACGGTTACTTCTGGTACGTGCAAAGGAGGTTCACACTACGATACTTGCGTGATTATGGCTTTGGTAAACGGGACGAGTCACTGGAGTCCACTGTCGCACACGAAGTCAAGGAAATGCTTGATATGGCGTTAAATGGGCCTAAGTACACGGCTGAAAATGTAAGTAAATTCCCTTTTGTCTGAACTATCTATAATTTGAAGTGGCAGGTAACTAGTGATCTTATACGCTAGCCAAAGATGCAGCACTTTATATATAAGGTAAGGACATGGAGTATTTGCAAACTATCTGACCACCTTTGAGTCGTTACCCATTTCAGCTGTTTGTCGTTGTGCATGTTACGGAAAATCTCATAATATTAATGAATACAGGATTAAGTACTTAAATCTATGTAAAAGAAGATAATATTTTAGAATAGAAAAAGAAATATGGTGAAATTAAGATTAAATAATCAACATGGCTTAAACTAACTACCAATATGGTTTAACTATGTGCTTGGGCATTCACTTCTGTCTAGTCTGGATAGGTCAATAGACAGCCTAGCAATCTAATAAATAAAATTTCGGCTACAACGGAAAATATAATTATGAAACTGCAATAATCGTGTGATTTTTTCTGGTGATGCTAGAATAATTTGTTTCTTAAAACCCGATACCAAGGTTTTAATTGAAATAATACTAGTTTTTACGGAATTTATCGCGTATATTTAACTTTTAATACCCGACGTTTCGAACGCTTTACAGCACTCATGGTCACGGGCAGGACTGAGATGTTCAACGTCCATATGTCATAGTTAACCGCGGTTACCATAGATTAAAATTTAACTTTTGTTCCGATCTATGCAGTATGAACTTATGGTATCTTGAAGTCTTGCAGTTGTATGCTTGGGTTGGGATTTAATTTTATTTATTATAGGATCCCAAGCAGATGGTAGCACCCAGCCATCTTCTCTATTGAAATTAGGATGTTTTTTGATTTCAATAGCCTCGCGAATCATCCTTGGAAGGAATCGGTGTTCTTTAGCGAGGATCTGCGGTCTATCAAATCTGATGTAGTGACGGGGGCGATCCTGTACGTGTTCACAGACTGCAGACTTCCCGGAGCGTCGATTCTTCACATCAGCTATATGTTCTTTAATGCGGGTTTTTATTGATCTTTTAGTTTGTCCTATGTAGGAGAGACCACATTCACAATCAAGCTTTTACACTCCTGCATCTTGCAGAGGGACATTACACTTGACCGATGGTAAAAACTGACCAATCTTCTTCAGCGGCTTGAAGTATGTTTTGATGGAAGCGCGCTTCAAGATGTAGCCAATCTTGTCAGTGACTCCTCTAACATATGGCAGTACAGCAGGTACACGCTCGACTGTGGCCGGCTTCACTCGTTCACTGTGACGTAGGCGCGGGACTCGAAGCTTGTTGTCATGCAAAACTTGCTTGACATGGTGGAGCTCTGCAGCCAGGTGTTTACTGTCACAGATCCCTCGTGCTCTCTGAAACAAAGATTTACCCACGGTAGCTAACTGTGAAGGATGGTGGTGAGAATCACCGTTTAAATATCTATCTGTATGGGTCTTTTTTCTATACACAGTATGGCTCAAGGTGTTATCAGGATTCCGAATTACTAACACATCTAGAAAAGCTAAGGAATTGTTTGCCTCTAACTCCATTGTGAACTGAATTTTAGAATTTATAGAGTTAAGATGGTCTAAAAATGCAGTTACTTTATCTAAAGGTAGAATTGTGAAAGTGTCGTCTACGTACCGCTTGTAGAACCTTGGATTTATGGGAGAACTAAGCAGGGCTTTCTCCTCAAAGTCTTCCATGAATATGTCGGCGACAATGGGAGATACAGGTGAGCCCATCGCCACACCATCTACTTGCTTGTAGAACTCCTCCTTCCACAATAGGTAGCCAGATGTAAGGCAGTGTCTGAGTAATACTGCATATTCCACGGGCATATTGTTTTCTTCCAGCCTTCTAGTTACAATTGAGATGCAGTCTTCAACAGGTAAGCATGTAAACAATGACTGCACATCAAAACTGACCATAGTTTCATTGTCTGCCAGATGTAGGTCTTTAATCTCGCTGACAAAATGGTAGGAATCCTCTATGTGTGCTCTTGTATGTCCCCTGAGTGGTGAGAGTATTTTCGCTAAGTGTTGAGCCAATCTGTAAGTCGGTGAATCGATTTGGCTCACTATGGGACGTAATGGAGCATTGGGCTTGTGTATTTTTGGTAACCCATACAATTTTGGTGATTTGGCGCACGTAGGTATTATCCATTTTATTTTGTCAGCGAGATTAAAGACCTACATCTGGCAGACAATGAAACTATGGTCAGTTTTGATGCGCAGTCATTGTTTACATGCTTACCTGTTGAAGACTGCATCTCAATTGTAACTAGAAGGCTGGAAGAAAACAATATGCCCGTAGAATATGCAGTATTACTCAGACACTGCCTTACATCTGGCTACCTATTGTGGAAGGAGGAGTTCTACAAGCAAGTAGATGGTGTGGCGATGGGCTCACCTGTATCTCCCATTGTCGCCGACATATTCATGGAAGACTTTGAGGAGAAAGCCCTGCTTAGTTCTCCCATAAATCCAAGGTTCTACAAGCGGTACGTAGACGACACTTTCACAATTCTACCTTTAGATAAAGTAACTGCATTTTTAGACCATCTTAACTCTATAAATTCTAAAATTCAGTTCACAATGGAGTTAGAGGCAAACAATTCCTTAGCTTTTCTAGATGTGTTAGTAATTCGGAATCCTGATAACACCTTGAGCCATACTGTGTATAGAAAAAAGACCCATACAGATAGATATTTAAACGGTGATTCTCACCACCATCCTTCACAGTTAGCTACCGTGGGTAAATCTTTGTTTCAGAGAGCACGAGGGATCTGTGACAGTAAACACCTGGCTGCAGAGCTCCACCATGTCAAGCAAGTTTTGCATGACAACAAGCTTCGAGTCCCGCGCCTACGTCACAGTGAACGAGTGAAGCCGGCCACAGTCGAGCGTGTACCTGCTGTACTGCCATATGTTAGAGGAGTCACTGACAAGATTGGCTACATCTTGAAGCGCGCTTCCATCAAAACATACTTCAAGCCGCTGAAGAAGATTGGTCAGTTTTTACCATCGGTCAAGTGTAATGTCCCTCTGCAAGATGCAGGAGTGTAAAAGCTTGATTGTGAATGTGGTCTCTCCTACATAGGACAAACTAAAAGATCAATAAAAACCCGCATTAAAGAACATATAGCTGATGTGAAGAATCGACGCTCCGGGAAGTCTGCAGTCTGTGAACACGTACAGGATCGCCCCCGTCACTACATCAGATTTGATAGACCGCAGATCCTCGCTAAAGAACACCGATTCCTTCCAAGGATGATTCGCGAGGCTATTGAAATCAAAAAACATCCTAATTTCAATAGAGAAGATGGCTGGGTGCTACCATCTGCTTGGGATCCTATAATAAATAAAATTAAATCCCAAACCAAGCATACAACTGCAAGACTTCAAGATACCATAAGTTCATACTGCATAGATCGGAACAAAAGTTAAATTTTAATCTATGGTAACCGCGGTTAACTATGACATATGGACGTTGAACATCTCAGTCCTGCCCGTGACCATGAGTGCTGTAAAGCGTTCGAAACGTCGGGTATTAAAAGTTAAATATACGCGATAAATTCCGTAAAAACTAGTATTATTTCAATGTGTAGTGTTCGCGTAAATATAAGAAATCATTAAGGTTTTAATTGTTTATCTTATCGTATAATTCAGAACGCAATCTATATCTGTCGTCTAGTTGCAAATCCCGCAAAACGAATCAATAAAATTTTGCAGAAATGAAAAAAAAAACGTTTGAAACAGAAACAACTTTATTTTATTAGACGATTTTCTTTTACTTCCATGGCAACAAAATATACCTATATAACAAAACGAAAAAAGCTGCCATTACTACCAAAAACTAACTAAAAAATTAACTAAAAACAAGATTTTAATTTTAAATATGGTGGTTATTGAAACTTACTAAGTCTTATGGGGGCATTTGCAACTGAGCTTTATGGAATAGCGGGATTTGAAACTTACGTCATTCTATGGTGATGGTCAATGTTATGCAACAACAACTGGTTAGTAAATAAAAAATGAAGAGCAACTTATAATATAACCTGAAAATAAACTAGTTAGTTGTTCTAATTGGAAATCAAGCAAACATAAAAAGCTTAACCATACTATAAGGTTGACATCCTCAAAGCCATCTTCACAAAGGTCGCTTGGTATCTCTACTGTATCCTTGTCAATATCTCCTTGCTCATAAGACCTTCTGCATTCCACTCTTTTATAAAACGTTAATGTTTCAATGTCTCTCCATTGCTCTTCATAATGTTTTTTTTAAATGATTCGAAATATCGGTGATCTTTGCTTTTTTGGATTTAACTGGCGACCTTTGTGAAGACGGTTTTGAGGATATCAACATATATAGTATGATTAAACTTTTTGTGTTTACCTGATTTCCAATCTAGAACAACTAACTAGTTGATTTTCAAATTATGTTATAAGTAAAATTGCTATTTTGCATCGTTATTTACTTACCAGTTATTGTTGCATAACATTGACCATCACCACAGAATGACGTAAGTTTCAAATCCCGCTATTTTATAAAGAGCAGTTGCAAATGATAAGTCTTATTAAGATTAGATAAGACTTACTAAGTTTCAATATCCGCCATATTTTACATTAAAAGCTGTTTTTAGTTAGTTTTTGGTAGTAATGGCAGCTTTTTTCATTGTCTTTCTTATATAGATATCTTTTGTTGCCATGGAATGGAAAGAAAATCGTCTAATAAAATGTTTCTTCTGTTTAAGTTGTTTCTATTTCAAGCGTTATTTTTTTATTTCTGCAAAATTTTATTGATTCGTTTTAGCGGGATTTTCAACTAAATGACAGAATTATGTGAAATGTTGTCCGTTTCTTAGTGAAAAAAAAATGATGAAGGTAAAGTGAACTTCGTATGTAATACGCCCTTAATCGTCGGAAATCATCAAATTTCTTTAAGAAAGATTTTATTAAATTAACTCATCCATCTGATATTTTAGGACAGGTGTCATTTTCTATACTTCAACCAAAAAAATAATTGAAAATTCTTTCTCTACATAGGTAATCTTTCTTTTTTTATATCCTTTTTATATCTAGAATAAGGGTAACAAACGAGCGCACAGTCCACCTGATGGTAAGTGGAAACTGTGATCCATAGACATCTACATTTATCCTCGATGAAGAAAATTTCCAATAAAAAAGGGTCTCCGGTTCTCTACACTCACCATACTTAACACAACAGTCTTTAGCTGCTGTTTTACGCTGGTATTCTGTGAGAGCGTGGTAGTGCACCGGTTGAGCCGACCCATTCGTGCTACAACTAATATACCTGCAGCGTGGCTCTATCACGTCAACGTTTCTTCTTAGTCTGTATCAGTATTAGAAATAGCCATTATGCTCGATTTAAATATTATCGTTATTTATTTCAATTTTTATAGGATGATCATTAAAGAGAAAAAACTTCTATATCCACAATAATATATCTAATATAATATTGTCTGGTTGGCAAGTAGAAAATGCCAAAAGGCATTAATTTAAAAATGGTCAATAAATAAATAATATTAAATTATATTTCTAGTTTTTTTTAGATTTTTTTTATGTTTCTAGAGACTATTGAACGTAGACGATTGAAATTTGGCATATACACAATATTCTACAGCAACATATAAGCTAGTTTATCGGAATTGCATTAATAACACTGTTGTCAATCGTCCGAAAATCAAAAATAATTATTTTAATAAAATTATTTAATTTTATTAAAATAATTATTTACTTAAATTATAATGAGTTAAAATACTCAAAATGGTTAACATAAAGAAATTCATTGTTGTACCTAGGCTGCACTAAAAGTATCGGGAATGGAATATTTCCACTGTTCCTCTCATATTAAAATCTTTTTTAATTGAAAACTCCTTGGTTTTAAAAATCGAATACCATTTATTTATTTAAAAAAAAGATTCTCGGTCTTGTCACAAGGTTTTGTCAAACTTGTTTAGTCGTTGAGAAAATGGAATTGACTCGAGAAAATTCAAGAGCGATGATTTATTATGACTTTCGAAGTGGTTTAACACATAAACAGTGTGTTGACCGGACGATTTCTGCATTTGACAGACAATTTACACTTAATATACGAGTACTATTATTAATGATCGCATTTTCACAACTTTATACTGTCATTTTGCTTCTGCCACACCAAACTTTTACTACCATAAGTTAAGGTAGGGACTATCACAGCAATGTGAATTGCCATAAGTGCATTTTTAAACATACTGACTTCCCACAATAGAGTGAAGAGCCAATTCAATCTGTATTCTGCATCCACTTTTCATTCTATATTATCGTCGCGTCTACCATTCCTGCTAAACATAATGTATGACTTTCACTCCAAAGACACAAATATGACTTGATTGTAAGCGTACAACAATCCTTAAACAGCATTTGACGGCTCATCAAAGTTGGCCGTCAAATGCCTCTTGTACAGCGATTTTACCCTTATTCTTCGACTTTTCCGTCAACTGCCCATAAATATACTGAGAAGCCACGGACAAATTAAATAATCATGTATGACATCTTTATAGATGTCAAACCTGACAGAAGTGCTGAAGTCCAAACAAAGAGATTTTAATATCTGTATCAGCCCAGATCTTCACCCGAATGAGACTAACCTGCCCCATAAAGCAACACTATTACTTGGCGTTTTCTAAATCGTAATGCGCAGACACTTTCATGCGCATAGAAAATATTTAGCCGTCAGTTTCTTTCCTAACTCTTTCAATCAACATCTTAGCATACAGTTTTCTGACAGTGATAAGAATGCTGATTCTAAAGTAGTTTTAACAGTCCTACCGTGACCTTTTTCCTTATGCAGTGAGACTATAAGGGCTTTGCACTATTTTCCCGGTACTTGTTAGGTTTTCACCATAAATTAAAGATATTGTGTAGCAGGCTTGCCACCACTCCCTCTTACGCGTTAGACGATAATTTTTAATTGGTTTTCACTATTATTTTGTTAATGAATATTCTTAGAGGAAATGGATTTAAGGATTTGATAATATTATGATATCAATGAATCAGAGACAAGATGTCATTTTTGAAAAATTTGTAAGGTAATATTCAGCCTAATAACTGCTGTACTAATCCAACAACGGTCACTTTAGAAGCAATAGTACAAACTCGCCATTTAATGACCAAGAATACAAAGATTTTTGTCGTATTTTATATTGTCAGTATTCACACTTACTTTTGTATTTTCAGTAGTCACGCTTTAGTTCTGGTTTTGCAACAGGAGTTATAAAAAAAGAAGTGAAGCTTTTTACCCACGACGGAACGGAGAAAGTGTATTTTTGTTAAGGGTGAGAGGTTGTTTGTTTGTTTCTTTATTTATGTGTGCAAACAAATGTACCCATTTATGTCCATAACGGTTTGACCAATTTAGTTTCAATTTTATGCTAAGGGTTTGTGATTCATCGGCGATGGTTTTAAGTAGGTGTTATGGTGTTAACTCGCCAGGGAGTGGTGCAATAAACATTATTTTCATTGAATTTTTAGCGCATTTTCCCCGAGACGACTTGAACAATTTTGGCTACAATTTTTCGTGAAGTGTTTGACATTTATTTGCAATGATTCTTAGATAACTTTGATTTTGACAAACTAGCAATAAATCCCCAGGAGGCGCTAATACGGATTTTTGTAAAGCGCACGAGACTTAATGCTATTATGATAGGGTCAGGTGAGTAGCATCTGAACGTTGATTGCTGAGGGTCTGATGATGAAGAGAACAACATCGTGGGGAACTCTGCGAAGGCACATAACAGCTAATAAAGGTTACGCACGGGGTACAATAAAAAGCCAGTCAAGTACGAGTCTGACTCGCGCACCGAGGGTTACGTACTAATTATGACTTTCTTTAGTCATTCCTACCTTGTTTACCGTACCTTAGGATACAGGTAATAATTAGTTGTTTATATGAAAGATCTCGCGGCAAATCAACTCTTTTTAAAATGCTTTTTACCTTTTATATTTGTTATTTCCTATTAGACGGGAGATTTTCACAAACTTTATTTAATCCTTTTTTGATTAAAACGTTTACATCCGTCGTGGATTTTTCCAAAGTTTTTTTAATTTTGCTTTTTACTACTAATAAATACTATTTATTACAGACTTTGGTGAAGGGTGATTTGATATACCTGCCTCATTTCTTCGCGATTCCGTTCATTAATGGAATGATACACGTGTTTACTCGGACTTCTTTGCCAAGGCCGGATTATCACAAACTGTTGACAGTTGCTCGAGGAGCCTTGTTGTTCCAACGCAGTTCCAACGATTTTGGCGGAGCTCTAACACTTACACCATGGTTGAAGGATGTGATGCCTAAATACAGTGGATTTAGGGACTTAAAGGACGGACATCAGTTTTTATTGGACTTCTTTAAGGTAAGATTGAAGAAATAAAAAACACGTCTCTAATCCATTTAAAGATCATTCAAATTAAAAGGAGTGGTTCCTTTCAACCCATCAATGCAATCATAGAATACTACATACATACATAATAGAACGCGGGAGTGGGCGGAGCCCGTATAGCCACTAACATGTCAATTCACGCCTATAAATGTCAACACAATCAATCGTTTCCAATTTTCGTGTTAAGCGTCGCTGCATGCAAATATGGGAAATTGTGCAATAATAACAGCGGGAAATGGAATTTAAATAAAGGAGACATATCCTGCAACCAGTAAGTCAAAACGATTTATATTTTGTGAATATTAGAAGCAAAAATAAAGAAATATTTATGTGTCAATAGCATTATTCAAAAGTCTAAAATGTGTAAATACGCTCAGTCTGTCAATACAGCGAATCGGGTTTGTAGACGACGTAATTGCTTGTATGTGTGCTCCCGGCGAGCGGCGATACTGATCCTCGTACAAAATAAGGTTGACAGCCTTATTATATTGTGTATTATGATATTCTGTGAACGCAACATACAAACGCAAAAGTCAAACTATTGAAATATGTAGGTTTGTTTGGTGCGCGCACTCTGCGAAACGTCTACGAGTCTACGTCTCGTATTACGCATTGTTTATCGTACTCATTAGGCAACTTTTGCGTTTACAATGACCGCCGCACATTTCGGAGTAATAAAAATATATATTTGTTATTTATATTATTTTTATACTTCCAAAATTCCGAAACATTTATTGAAAATCAGCAGGAAATGGGACCAACTATTAATGAAAAGGGTAAAAATTATATATTTAACAGAAGATAATTGAAGTATTTTTGGTAACACCTTTATTTTAAGGATATGGTTTCATCTTATGTTCAGTTAATCGAATCGCTAATACACGTCAAGGTAAATTGGCCTTCACATCTTTGGCGGATTTTTAGAGGTTTAAGATATTTTCCTTACGTGAGCATTACGAGTAGTAAATTTGTTGTCTGGACTTCACCATAATGTGTCGTAGGTCATCACCAGTTAGGTAGAGTGACAATTTTGTGGATTTTTTGTAAGGTGGTTTATTTTATTTTAATTACATTTATACTGGCAATAAAATATAGTATACTACGCTTAGAACAAGAACTAAAATGATGAACGGTCCTTATCACCATCGTTACGTGAATGGCCCCTACGAGTTGTTTCATTAGTTACATAATAATTCCATACATAAACACTCACGCCTGTCACCCAGAGGGGTAGACAGAGACTACAGACTTCCATTTAGCACGATCCTGACATACCTCTCTCGCCTCCCACATCCATCCACGCCATCCACATCCAGATACCTACGCATACATGCTCGTCGATTAAGGGTACTCTTAATTTGGCCCACTTTTAGTATATCGCCAATTTGGTCGACAAACTTCCGCCTAGGACGTCTCTTTCCGACTCTTCTATTCACTTCTGCAACATATATTTGCTTTGTCAGTCTTTCCGCATTCATTCTTTCTACATGACCAAACCACCGAAGCACTCATTTCTTAATCCTGGTCACTGCATCATCTTGCAAACCACACTCTTCTTATATCACACAGTTTCTCACCCTGTCACTCAGATTCAGCCCTAACATACTCCTTAGCGACCGCATTTCTACTGCATTTATTCTAATCTCGTGCTTCTTCTGCCACACCCAACTTTCACTACCATATGTTAAAGTAGGGACTAATACAGCATTGTGAATTGCCATACGTGCCTTTTTTGACACATTCTGACTTTTCACAATAGAGTGTAGAGCCCCATTTACTTTATTTCCTGCATTCACTCGTCGTTCAATATCCTTATCATATCTCCCATCCCTGCTGAATACACATCCCAAATATACGAACTCATCCACTTGCTCAATTAACTCTCCTTCTATTCTTATTTTACATACCGTTTTGCTTTCTTCTCTTTCAAAAATCATCACTTTCGTCTTACTTGCGTTCACTTTCATTGCCCTTTCTTTTAATGACCTGTTACATTAATGTAACCATCATTTGCAACTCGGCCGCCGACGACGCAAGTATGACTTGATCATCGGCGTACAAAAGGCATTTGATGGTTAACTCACCTATTCTTAACCAGCATTCTTCAACTTTTAAATTTTCCAAACAACTGTCCATAAATAGGTTGAACAGCCACGGGAAAGCTACACAGCCCTGTCTGACACCTTTATGGATGCAAACCAGTCCGAGTAGACCCCGTTGATTCTAACACAAGCACTCGAGTCCCTATACAGAGACTTTAATGCCTGTATTAAACTAGCGCTCAACCTAAATGCGTTCAGCGTTTGCCATAACACATCCCTGTCCACTCTGTCATAAGCCTTTTCCAAGTCCATGAACGCACAAAAAACCTTTTGGTTTTTCGCCAAAAATTTTTCCGCGATCATGCGCATGGAAAAGACTTGATCTGTACACCCCATTCCCTTTCTAAATCCCGCTTGCACATCCCAAATTTTTTCATCAGTTTCTTTCATAACTCTTTCAATTACTTAGCGTACTTAGCATACAGTTTTCCCGCAATGGTAAGAAGGCTGATACCACGGTAGTTTTTACAGTCCTGCTGTGACCCTTTTCCCTTATATATTGGGACTATCACGGCTTTGCACCAGTCTCCCGGTACCCGCTTTAGTTCCCAACATAAATTAAACAAGGTGTATAGCAGGCCTGCCAACACGTCCTCTCCAGCCCTTAGCATTTCGAGTGAAACTCTATCATAACCGGCTGCCTTACCTACTTTCATGCTTTTCATTGCTTTCATTATTTCATCTATACTTATTTCCCTATCTCTTTCATCTTCTTTCGGAATTTCTATTTCATTTAGTTCACACGTCTCCTCACTCATAAATACGCTTTCAAAATATTCCTTCCATCTCTTTACACTCAACACTTCATCATTCAGAAAACAGCCATTCTCGTATTTGCCTGGAAGTTATCCGATATTCTTCTATCATTCTTATCCGTTCTTTCTTGCTTTTTCCTTTCAACTAATTCTTTTACTCTCTTATTTAGACGTTTAAACTCTGCCTTTTTTCTTTCTATCTCATCATTGTTACCGCTAGAATTACCAGCTTTGGTCGCTAGTAAATGTAGCCATGCTTTTTTCTTTGCTTCAACTTCCATACGTACCTCATCATCCCACCATAACGTATTGACTTTCCTTTCATTCGTTCTCTTACTAACACCACATACTTCGGTACAACCTTTCTTAACATTATGCCACACATTCTCCAAGTCCAGCTCATTCACACACAACTCATCCAAATCACTTATATTTTCTCTCAGTCTACATTTGTACTTGTCTTTCACATCTTCATCTTGTAACCTCTCAATTCTTATACGCTGTAACGCAGTGGTAGACACAGATGTCCGATGCCGCCAACGTCTGAATAAACCCCTAATTCGGCATAAAACCAGGTAGTGGTCCGTCCCTACGTTGGACCCCCGGTAAACCCTTGTATCCAGCACTTACTTGACTTATCCCCCATTAGTTAACGTCAAATAATCATTGGTTAACGTCAAATATAATCACTACATTTTGGTTAACGTGATTATTCAAACGATCATAGCTATATATTCGTAAATTTATTTTCGGATTTACACAGAGCAATGCGGGTCACCGGCCGATAGGAGGTGAGTAGTCATAAGCAGGCGTTCCCCACTGTCAAGTATATGCGGTATCTAGTCTCATACGTACCATAAAACTATAGCGAGCAGTGTGGCTGTAGTTACAGCTACACTGCTAACTAGATCAAATCTAGTTGCACGGCTGAATCGACAAAATCCTACAAAAATGTCGAATCGTTCAGTTTCTTTTTTCTGTAAAATGAGATCTGCCATATCTAATTTACAAAAAGACGGCGTTACATTTTATAAACAAGTAGTTTTTAATACATTATAGCTGTTTACTTATTTTTCAATTTAAAAATTACAATAATAACGGTCGTGTTGTTTCGGATTTGCTTACTAACACAGGTCGCCCACCCTCATAGAATATACAGATCGATCGAGCAACCGATGCGATGATTCGCTGTCACCGAGCGATACTGTTATAATACGCGTAAGTGTGAAATTGTTAGTTTATTTTGTTTTAATTGTTGTGCGAGTTTCGTAGTGACAGATGATTGTTTTGGGTTCACAGCCCCCCTTACCCCGCAAAAATGGCAGACATTTCTGTATCGGGGAAAAACGATATGGCTGCTCTCCTTCAGTCCGTCGGTGGCCCGTGTTGTTCTATGGTTTTACATAAATTAAAAAGTAAAATTACAAATTTAGTTTGTGAAATGCCATTTTATAATTTGCCACAATTACAAAATAGCATTTGAACAAAGAGTATATAATCACTACGTTTCACATTTACAGATGAAATTTTAATTTTATAAGTCCACGAAATAAATGTATATTTTAATTTCGTTTCATTTACCAAATTGTTTTGGCTGATTTAGAAAATGGTAGATGAGGCAATAGAAACACACAGTGAGGCATATGATCGTCATTTCCTTGACGTGTACATTAGAAAAATGAAGGAGGAAATAAAACAAGAGGAGCGTTCGACTTTTTCAGGTAATTTACACTAATTTAGTGAAATTTTTATGAAAACAGTTTTTACGTCTGCAGTAGACAATGGTATAATGTAATGCAAGGGAACCAACGTTTGACCTAGTCGTGATATAACTGTTGAAATTCTTTTTATAAAAGATGACGTTTTGTGTTTGTGTTGGTCGCTTTGCAGACATAGTCAGTAATCTATGCTTGGCAGTTTGTTAATTATTTAAAATAAAATATTAGATATGAAATAACAAAATAATTATGTGCCTTAATTTATTAAAGTAAAAGTAATATAAATAACATGTTATGGGCTCACAGACTACAAATATCTAAAAATAAAAAATAATAAGTAAATTCTAAAAATTAGTTTGTAACAAAATTTGGCTTTGCTTGCTACTGATAATTTTTATAATTGGAAGTTCCGGGAAAAGGATTTATTGGATGAAAATGAGTAGCTGAGCTGTATTTCCGATATTGACAAAGTGAGATGGATCATTGTTAAGGGTGGGGCTAACGCCTTTATTCTTGTTTTAAAATTGTAAAGACCCGTTCACGTTGAATACTTCTGAAATTTACTGTAGAGGAAATTAAATTATTCTAATACATAAATAATGTGAGTTGTGTTAAGTTTGAGTTAAGTAAATGATAATGAAATATCAATCATAGCTACGAATTTCATAGCACATGAGAATAATAATACTTTAATTTTGAATTCTGGTTGAACACACCTTTTTAAAAGTGATCTTGAAAAATATATGCAAAATGTATGGTTTGGTATGGCAATGAAAATTGCCTAAAAAGGGCTTACTCTAAATATGAAGGGTATAAAATTAATTTTTAAGTTTCAATTGTTGCATGCATCATTATTTTTTGTCAGTTAAATATTAATTCAAAATGTCGATAATGTTAAAGGATGAAGTAAATATAACAAGAAAAAATTTTGAATTAAAATATCAAAGTTTAAATTATTTATATGTAACACATCATTATTATATTGCTAAGAATCCAATCTCAAAATTATTAAATTGCATACAAGTCTAGAAAAGTGTCCTGCATGAATCAAAGGAAAAGCAAATGGATTGCCATTTTACAATTTTGTTAAACAATCATAACAAATCGGTGATTTAATTAATTTTGACTGTTATTTACTCTCAAATTGAAATGTTGCCGCATTTTTAAGGTCAAATATATTAACAAATCAGATACCCTCATAACAACACATCACTTCATCTGTTTAAAGTATCAAAAACTTAAAATCACTGTCGTGAATTATGTTATATGTGCGATACAACTTAGAATGCACTTCTGGAATCATATCTGATAAATACAAGACTCATCACTGCATGGCGCCAGGTGCGCAGGTGAGCATGCTGCGTGCTCCATTCCTCATATGAGGCTTGCCAATGTCATGTGAAATTTCAAATCCAATCTAATTTGGTAAATACAGGCCACTAATTTTAAATAACATACACATTTCACGATGTGAGTTTACGAATAATTTCGTAATATTTCCTTCACGCATTCATACAATCATCAATTTTATGAGTCTCAAATAGAGATCTTTTATTGAAAATATGAGACTGTTTGTTTTGAAACCTTAAATAATTATGAGAGGCTTTTGCAACTATCTCCAGTAGCCAGAAATCTGTGTGCAATAACAAATCGGGCTTATCATCGTATCGGTATTAATCTTTGAGATATGAGGGCCAATATTATTTAGAAGGAAAGTAAAATAATCTTAAGACGTTCTGCAGAAATTTTCAAATGTTCCCATACAAAATCACTCAGTATGTCAGTTGCATTACATCTGTAGGTAATAATGAAAAATATATTGATTTGTAACCGCGGTTAGCGCGTTAAAAAACTTAACTTAAACTTAACTGCCCGATTTAACTAATTTTATTATATTACATACCACCTTAAACAGTTAGATCTGATCCTGAAACAGTTCGTTCTTTTGAAATACATTTTAGAAAGGACAAAACTCCTAAGTTTAAAATTTAACCGATTTTGTCAAAGAGCAAGCTCATATAATCCTAAAAGATTCAAACCTAAGACGAAATCAATGAAGATGAATGATTTTTATGGAAGCGGATATAGACTATGATTTCCATCAACAAATTAAATAATGACGCACAGAGATGAAATTTTAGATGAAACAAAAATTAAATTTAATAATAATAATAAGAATGACCGTAATTTTCTGCAAAAAAATGTGTATGAAAAACAAGAACGAGAAACAATAATGTTACAAAAATAATGGATCAGAATGACGTAGCAAATGAATCCAGTAGTGAATCAGCAGAAGATTCAGATGAGACAATTATTGAAATGGAAAATACTAGTATGAATTGAAATTACAAGAAATGAAGATAGTATTACTATAACTCAATAAGAAACGTTTTTATGCAAATTTAATGTGAATGATTGTAAAAGAACAGGAACTTCAAAGGAAGTTAATTTTCAAATTGATAAAAAAAATTAGAAAGTTGATGTACTTTATCGAAAATTAATCGGAAGTATAATGCATGCTAATGTAGCTATTTCATCAAAAACTGATTTAATGTATTCAGTTTCTTATTTGAGTAGAATGTTAGATAAGCCAATAAATCAAACATGGATTTCAGCTAATAGAATAATTCGCTGCTTGAAAGGAAGGCTGGAAAGGTTGGAAAGGTTGTACAAAAAACCGACAATTTGATAATAAAAGAATATTCAGAAGGAGCTGGTGTTAAAATCGACAGAAAAAGTACAAGTGGATCAATAGTATTAATCAAAAGAAATGCAGTATTATGCGATTCTGAAAAACAAAATTGTGTAGGATTATCAACAGCGGAGCTTGAATAAGTAGCTGCTGTTTTAAATGCTCAAAATCTCATTAATATTAAAGATGTAAGTTTCAATTTTTTAAAAAGTGAGGTTTATTATATGTTGACAACATAGGCGCAAACGACATCACATAATCGTATAAAAATTCTAAAAGAAGTAAACACATTGATATACAAAAGATGATTATGAAGAAAATAATGAAGATTAATAATATATTAAAAAAGAAAAAGGAAGAAAAGAATATATTAATCCAAGAAACAGTATTGAAGATATTACGACCAAGGCTTTGTGTAAAGAAAAAATATTAATTTACGAAACAAATTGTTAATTATTGTTTGATTAAACAATCAATTAAATCTTTATCAAGTTTATTTATTAAAGTAAAAAGTAAATCTAATGATGCTACAAGTATTCTATTTATTTTGTATAAAATGATGTTTCTAATGAAACCAACACCATAAACTATTTACGACTGTAATACATTAAATCTTTTTTAATTTTCAAAAAGGGATAAACTCCTAAACAGATTTGTGGTGAATAAAATCATTTTCAGACATAGACATTTCGTCACGTTGTTTTCCTTCATCATTAAGCAGTGGCATTAATAAATATATTTGGAATTTAGGTTACTTGCGATTTGTAATTTAAACAATATTAAGTACTTTGGACTATTTATGGTCCTACTACCTTAATATCAGTCTGCTATATCACAGTTATTTTTCTATGCAACAAAACTGGCGGAACTTTTTTAATGTTTAAAAAAAAAATATTTGCATTATTTAAAAAAAATAATACCTACCTACGTCCTAAAATTTCGCTTTTTTTTTTGTGCAATCAATCGGTCATAGCTGCAATCATTAAAATTAATCTCATACCAACGAGGTTGTCTTTAAAAAAGGATATGTTCCACTCTAAGGCTTATAACTGAATTGTCGGTGCGGAAGCGGTGCGGGATCTGCAAGGTCTGTACCGAAACAATATCGCGTTGCCTTCAGCTACTCACTTATCGGTATAATATCCTGGAGTACCGAAGATGTCGTCTTCGAGTGATGACGATATTTTGGCGTGTTGTTATGTTTATCGCCTTCGTAAAAAAAAAAGAAAACTATTATTGGAGTCATACCTATATCGAAAATAATAATAATTATTGACTTTTTGTAGCAGCTCAAGAACTTTCCTTTCTGTCAAAAAAAACTTCGAAAAGCTTTTGAATTTGTTGACTACAGATTTAACAAAGCAAAATACCAGGTTTAGAGAGTATTCAATTTCTAGTACTAAAACGACGTGAATATCTCGCTCCGCCATCTTGTTTGCACGACCGTGCACGGTAAACGTCTAGTAGCGCCTGGACACACATCCCGAGACGCGGTAAAACGAAACGATCGCTCCCCGGCCCCTGTATATACGGCGCCAATTAAAAGATGCACATTAAAATGTATGTGCTCAGCAAGCTTTCGGTACCGCGTATACAAAGCGAAACTAATCCGCACTGCTCCCGCACTGACAACTCTTTAAGCGGCCTTACACTTAATTTTTTATAATTGTTGTTCGTATTTATAGTTGAACAACTAATTCTCGTCTGTACGGACTATATGTTCCCGGCGGCTTCAGCAGTGGAGTCAGTGCTAACGATGCTTATTGAGAGATTACTGCTGCAACCTGAGCTGCAGGATAAAATACACGAGGAGATTGACCGCGTCGTCGGACGAGACAGACTGCCCACGCTTGATGATCGCATAAAGTAAGGATGCATTTATCTATCTTCTTATGTATATATATGACTGCCTCGTTGGTCTAGTGGTTGTTGTAGTACGACTGCTGATTATGAGGTCCTGGGTTCGAATCCCGGGGCGGGCCAAAAAATTAATTATTGAGTCAGGAAGTTGGCAGTGTCTCACCCCCGTGCCTCTACTTTCACGTGGGCACTATAATCCTGTCCTGCGCCAATGGCTAGCCTCCGTTGGGGCAGGCCGCCGTGGCCGAAATTCGGTCTGGAGGACATTATTATTATGTATATATTTATACTATAAAGGTACTTATTCTGAATGACTGACTCATCCATCAATGCACAGCCCAAACCGCTAGAACTCGAAATCAAAAAATTTTACGGTAGCTACCTTTATGTCGTAGGAATCCACTAAGAAACGATTTCAAAAATCCAACCCCGCTTTGTATGAAACTTTTTTATGTTACTGGGCGGATAAATCGAAACATTTTGAAAGTACTCTATAAATAAAATAACGGAATATTATATTCTTTGCGATATTTCAAAACAACATCTGAAGGGGGAGGTGGGAAATAGGGTTTTTAAATTGGTATGTAGAATAAAAACACCTGTTACTCTGCAATGCAGTATGCATTATTATTGCATATTTACAATATCAAAACGTAGTTGTAAGAAAATAGTTGTAAGACAAATACCACTTTAAAACTAAATATTTCGCAAACTGATATTTGGCTGGAAAAACTGTTGTTAGATACCCCTAATATTTTTGAAAGATCTATCTATATATATAAAGATCGACATTCCATCGGAATAGTTGGGTAAAAAATCACTTCTATGGGAAGTACTTAAAATAAAAATGTTTTTCAAGATTTTAGGTCTTTTTCTTTGTAGGCGTAATTAATATCTAAAATTATGCAAAATTACAGCTTAGTGGTACCTAGGGTTTTTGAGTAAAACCGCGAACGGACGGACGGGCAGACATGGTGAAACTGTAAGAGTTCCTTTTTGTTTAAATACGGAACCCTAAAAAGGGACACACGATTTTTTAGATTGAATCGCATGCCATGCAAAATTGTAATAAACAAGAGCGCAGCTAAGTCAGCTTAAGAGCCCTCCTTCATTTCGGCGTTACACAAATTTAGGTATTTTACCCTCCGAGTAGGCGACGATCTACGCGAGCGATACTTTATTTCATAATATCTATTCACTCGCTCACACTATGATACTGTGAGTATAGCGACTAAACGATCTTGATTTTCTTTTCTGATAGAGTTCAGTGAATGGAAAATTTTTGGTGTGTCATTTTTACGTTATCTAATTAATTTATTATAATCTATTTGACATATTTTTCATTATTTATGAACCTTAATCTTGAAATAAGTACACAAATATTTTAATTATTTCACAGTAATCGATTGTTAACTAATGTTGGTTAATAATTTATTATATCTACTAACGATATCATAGCGGTGTAAAATAAATAAATAGTACGGTTGCAACTTGTTTTATAAAATAATAATATATGTTTATATATTATTATTATATAAAACTATGTTTTATATAGTAATAAATAAAATAACCATCTGAAACTAGTAGTTTTTTAATCAGTACTTACAGTCAATTATAATTTTTTTGTTAAAAAAATATTTGCCGCAACGGCACTGACCTAATTTATCTCGAGTCAATAATTTCAGGCAGTACACACTTTTTGTAAGACGCTTGTAAGATGGGTAACATATTAGAAATCCAAAACTTGTCGTCTTTGTAGATTTTTAGTACTTTTACTGCATAATCGGGGTCAGTCCATATGGCAAGCAAGCAGACATTTTTATTCTCCATTATTATTTCTCCATTGATAATTGTATTAATTTTTTCCCATTCCAACTAGTAAGAAAGCTCAGCCACAATCAAGATAACTATAATAAGTTAACTATCTGGTGTAATAATTATGTGCGAACTTTATACTAATTGAAATATACTGTACGAGAGAAAATACTTCCAGCGATCAACAAATGTGATCATAGTTGAGTTCTATTTCGGAACTCAGGCCAAAATTGCACGCTTATAACGTCACTACGATAATATCGAAACGAGACGGAGCGCGTGAAATCAAATGACACAGGTCAAACTCGACCGCTTGCTCGGTAATGATTTCAGATGGTCGGCGCAGGGAAATATATGGTAGTTTTAGTAAATTAATTAAAAAATAATAGTAACGATATTAAAAGTAAAAATCATAGTATAGTTTAAGCAAATGTTGATGATTATTTTGGTATAAATTTTACTTCAAGACGATGTAGAACTTTGGCGGTAATGGAGTTGTATCGAAGTTTTTTCGGTCGTTAATTGAGTTATGTCGATTTTTTTTCCTTATACGAAAGGCATATAACGAAAATCTATTCTACCATTATTAAAGTATAGAATACTGGTGAGATAAAAATTTTTTTTGATGGTTGATATTCAATAGAATCTACAAATTAAAACTCCCAAATCATGTTTCAAGAGTTTTGGCCTAAACATGTATCGGGAGAATGATTATTTCTAAATAAATAAATAAGTTATCCAAAATTTGGTCTAAGCTTATTGTAGCAGAGAAAACGAACTAGATACGAAAAAGGAACTAAAAATAATGTTTAAATATGTATTGACTATGATTGAAGTAGTAAAACTGAATATTGTAAAACTGGCCAAGTGTATGTCGGCCGCGCACACGGGCCGGTTCCGTAGTTGCCCGTGAAAATACTTGAAATTAGAAGGTGTCTTCTTGATACTGTGAGCATAGTAAATGAGTTTGCAGTTTGACCGTTAGTGTTATTATATTGATTTATGCATTAGAAACAATGATAAGTCAAAATATAATGTGTCATAACGTTAACGTTTTTTTTTAGTAAAATGACTGTATATATATTATTCACTAGGTACCCGAAATGGAAACAGGCTCAGTGTACGCTGTAACAATGTTATGTGGGTATTTTGTATTTTCATAATAACATAATAAAATATATAACATAATAGATTTTTACCTATGAAATTGCCGTTCTGCAGTACTGGCCATTTTAAGTGATAATAATTTTTCTTTAGCTAAAAATTCTAATTTCAAATTAATTTTATTTCAAAAATATGGAATTCCTTTTTCAAAATTAGTCATTTGTTTATTGATTAGCGTTACGTTTTCATCGCATTTGAATCCTTTTCGTCATCATGGATACGTTAAAAATTCCAGTAATTATGGAATATGAGTACCGTCATGTCAGCAATACGGCAAAAGCAGCTGACTGCATTAACGACGTTACGGAGCGAATACTACAAATGAACGCATCACCTTTTATTGGTTTGCCCGCTTCCGCTCTAGAAACTTCGACTTTAAAAATAAACATCGTGATCGTCTGAAAGTTTTGGTCGACATTGACGTATTTAAGACGATTATGGAAGCTGATGATACTCACTCAATCTACAGCTGAATTACCAGCAGCTTTCGATGTTATCATCAAAACAATATTGGTCCATTTGCCTTAAATTGGCAAGGTAAAAAAACTTGCCAAATAGGTCCCACGAACTCAATTATCGTCAGCGCGAAGTACGCGTCGTGACGTGCCTTGCACTGCTCAACAGGTACACAAACGAGAGAATTTTTAGCCGCATTGTTACCTGAAAAATGAATTCTGTTTAATAACTGCAAGTGCTCAGCAAGTTGATTGGATCCTGGTTCCTAAATGAAAACTCGCCCTTAGAAAAGTGATGGTCACTATTTGGTGGTCTAGCGCTAGTTTGATTCGTCCCATCTTCTTACTAAGCGGGATGAGCATTACTGCAGATGTGTACTGTAAAGAACTGAACACAATGATACAATGGTAGAGAAGTTCGGACATCTCCAACCAGTTTTGGTCAATCGATCGTCCTTGCTGCTCCTGCACGACAACGCGCGACCTCATACTGCATAACAGACGGTCACCAAGTTACAAGAAATGGGGTTGGAAGCTCTTCGTCATCGACCCATCAGACCATACGCCTATTGACTTCTACGTTTTTCTACTCCAGAATTCGAATATTTTTTTTTGAGGGAAAATAACTTAATACCCGAGAGGCAGTACAAAATACCTTTGAAGAATTTGTTGCCTCCCGTCCAGCTGATTTCTTCGAGAAGGGTATTGTAGCGGCGTTGTCGTCGCGCCAAAAGCGAAAACACACCGAAGCCTAAATCGCGCTATCAACATTCCGAATCATAAACAGTATATATAGAACTTCTCCGAACTATCACACGGAGTGTTGGCCGCTCCCCGGGCAGAATACCTTGCCCGGTGGGAGATCTCCCATTTTCCTACCACGGCCACAGTGGTGTACCCCGACGTGATCTTGAATACACGCAACCGTAACTTCGGAAACTTCAAGCCTTCATCATCGTCATAGAATACCCCACCCATTCGCTCCCGAGCAGATATCGTCTGCAGTCTTCTTATCCTGCAAGCCATCTAGCTTCACAAGGTTCATCGCAGCACTGGAATAATAATGCTTCCTGTTCCTTCAAGCTACTCTCTGCGCTATACAGTGTTCGGCACGGCTCTGTGCCTTACTGCTCGCCTCTGCTTCACGGCACTCTCGCAGATTACTTGCCTTCTTCTCGACTCACCGCAGACTACAAGGAAATCTCCTGGCACTTGCACATTCGTCGGCAACGAGGCTGCAATATCGACCTCCGGTCTGAGCAGGGGAGTGGTGTAGCGGCGTTGTCGTCGCGCCACAAGCGAAAACACACCGAAGCCTAAATCGCGCTATCAACATTCCGAATCATAAACAGTATATATAGAACTTCTCCGAACTATCACACGGAGTGTGAGCCGCTCCCCGGGCAGAACACCTTGCCTGGCGGGAGATCTCCCCTTTTCTTTCTTGCATTGGCAAGGATGAGTCGATTGGATGGGTGATTACTTTGATTAATAGAAAAAAATAGCGTTATATTATTAAAAACGAGAATATCATAGGTAAAGACCTACTACGTCTATTCTGAAATAGTGAAT